GGATACTTACTGGATGTAATCTGGGACTAAAAGGTCTTTCCTTTTAGCACTAGAATCAGGTAAATGTTATTGGTATGCATGTGTTTTATACACTACAATTATTTAAATAGAATTGTTTACTTTTTAGACTTGACCTGTTTTATAATTATTGAGTATCTGCCTAATCGCCTTGTTAAAAGCAGCAATTTTAAAGTAAAAAGACTTCATCTTTCTTGTGTTACAAACATTAGAAGTACACAGTTCAGTTACGAAAATTTTGTTTAAACTATCTCATAACTAGATTGAGAGTAATAAAATTAAGTACTTAAAAACTCCCCCAGATATAATTTGGTTTTGCTAGTGGCCTAATGAGAGTGCCTCATGTGTACCGTGGGTAAGTAGTTATGGGACTCCTATAGATTTCTGTACAACAGCTGTGTAAGTGTTCCACTTTATAATTAACACTTTAAATTTTCAGAATTCTACCAGTAATCATTCCCCTTTTTACATGACAATTAGTTTTTCTTGCCTAGTATTTTTAAGTGAGTCTTGGTTATAAATGATGCTTTGTAATAAGATAATTCATGGATGACATGGATGATTTGAGCCATTTATATTTTCATATTTAGGATGTCAACATAAGTAGATCTGTTGTTGTTGTTTAGTAACATCAAGTTGGTCCCCACCCATAGGGACCCTGTGTAGGGGTTCCAAGGAGTGACTGGTGAGCTTGAACACCAACCTGTGGTTCTAACTGACTTTGCAGTCCAGTGAAGTAATGCACAGCACCACAACAGGACTCCCAAGTATTATATATGAGGTTGACTCATATATAATGACAATTACATTGTCATTGGTGAAGTGACAAAACCATTGTCATTGGTTTGTTTAAAGTAAACAGTTGTAAATGTTAAATAAACAGCTTATTTAAAGTAAGGAGTCCTGGTGTGGCACTGTAGGATAAGCAATGGACTGCTAAACACAGGCTGGCATTTCAAATCCCACAGTTTATCCTCAGAAACCCTATACAGCGCCGCTACAAGTTGGAACCGACTCAGCAGCATACAACAACAACAATTTAAGGAATATGTGAGGATACATTAAAAAATTATCTGCACTCTGGCTGTAGCATTTATTTTAATCAACTTTTAGAAAAGACAAATACATCATTTTTTGACATAATCTCCTTGCTTTTCAATACATTTTGTCCATCTGTCAAGACACTTTTGTAATTCCTTAGTAAAAAGTGATTTAGGCTGAGCTGTGAACTATGAATGCCACAAATGCACCGCTGTCTTCACTTCTTCATCAGAGGTGAATCTTTGTCCTTGAAGGGCTGCTTTCAAGGGACCAAACAGGTGAAAGTCCAATAGATCAGCAATATCAGGACTATAGGGAGGATGCTTTAACACCTCAAAACGAAGTTTTTGCGGTGTGAACAGTGTGGGCAAAGGTGTGCAGATCACAGTGCCCTTGGATAGCCGTCCTCTGCATTTAATCCAAAGTTTAGACTTCAGCTGTCACTGTTGATTGTTGAACCTTTTTCCTGATAGTGTTTAAACTTTTCCCTTCCTTCGAGTATATGTACAAATTTTGTTTGCAGATGTCCAAACACTTCAGTTTATGTTCTTCTGTGCGTTGTTTAGGTACCCATCTCACACAAACTTTTTGAAAACCAAGTCTGTCATGGATTACTTCATAGGCAGAGCCATGGCTGATTTTCACGTGTTTTGCCACATAATCCACTGTCACTTGTCTGTTCGACAGAATCATTTCATGTTCATGCTCAATGTTGTCATCAGTAGTGGATGACAAATAGTGGATTTAAACAGGCGTTTAAATAAACCAGAGTGTGCGTAATTTTTTAGTCACCCTCATATATAATACATAATAGATAAATTTGGAAAGAGAGATCCTAAATTAAAAAAAAAGATCCATCATACCTCTGAAATACATACGGATGAAATGATATGATGTCTAACTTCTATTATCAGAATAATCTGGGGTGCAATGGCAAGTGACTTGGGATGTTGATACCAGAAGATTCGTTGTGAGTGTGTGATTGTTGAGGCAGGGTGGTAGGCCTTGGTTGTTCATTATACTCTCCCTTTGTGTGATATACATTTATTCTATAACATTTGGAAAGTTGTATAATACGTGTACACACATGCATAAATACATACATATATACAGATAACTTTTGGGAATCTCTGTAGTAAAAAGAAGGAAAAACAATCTTCAACTACTAATATAAATTTTTTAATGAGCCAGGAAATATGAGAGTTTTTTTAAAATAAAAACATTCTTTGGGGATGTTTACACAGTGAAAAGTTTGAAAATTAGTATTTGTCAAAGTTTAATATGTTGTATGTAGATTGAGAACAAATTTTCTTTTTTGTTCAAACAAATTAAAATAATCTTCTGTTCAGAGGACATTATTCTCTTAATTACAGGGAGTAAAAATGAGAAAGAACACACACAAAAAAAATCCCCAAAATAATATGCATGCAAATCCTTTGCCAAGTTTATTGTATATTTATAAAATAGCTATATTGAACAGTTTACTAAAAATAATAGGATTTTAGTTCTCAAATTCATCACTAACTTTTATTTACCCTAAAGGTCATATATTTCTTTCTTTCTTATTTTGTTTTGTGTACTACATTCTAAATATGAGTGCATTGCTTTAAATCCAGGCCAGGCTCTTTAGAAAGGGCAGAAGTGACTTCATAAATTGTGAAACTGTTTCAAGCTGAGTTACATGAAGTTGCTTTTTTTGTAGGTCAAAAATGACCCCAAATTGTCAGTTCTCTGTGGTTGCTTAAATAAAATACCTTCTTCAATCTTTGTTAAAAGTAAAAATGGAAGTGCTGACTGGTAGGTTCCTACAAATCTATATAGAACCTACCTTTTGGGAAACTAATGGAGTTTCAGTGTGTTTATAAGAGATAACATTTACTGTAATTTTTGAGTGAAAGCATGCATAAACTAAAAATAAATGTTTTACCAATAACGATTAATACATGTCTGATTCTGTAAGTCCTTACCTCATAACCTAAAGCATTAGAAACAAGAACGTGTTAAATAATAAACATAGTGGGAATATCTGGAAAGTAGTGCTGAAAATAACCTAATTTTGTTTTGTTTTTTTAAATCATTCTAAAGAACTTTTAAATGACACTCATATGGGTGCTGTTTTAGGACTCTTGAGTGTTAAAAGTTAACAAAATAAACTCTGAATCCTTTGCTCACCCTGGGAAGCTTGTATATTCTTCTCACTGTTTAGGATTGAAGGGTTTTTCATTACATACGAATAGCTGACTGTGTTGACGGAGGAAGAACATTGTTAAGCTGTTATTAGAAAATATCAATAATGTGAGGAGAGGTTCTAGAGCAAAGATCAGATGAAAAGACTAATTATGCCATCGATTTCTTGTTCCTTCCTTGCTACATTGAATGAATTGTACCTAACATCACGAAACAAAAAATAAAAATTGTTGCATGAGAAACAAATTTACTCTGTAAACTTTGACCGAAATCACAATAAATAAAAATGCAGTAAATAATGAAAATTCTTAATGTTGTTAATGGAGCAGGATTTAGTTTTAAGTATTTGAGAGGAATCCCTGATGATTTTTTTATATCCTTATGGATGGAAACTAGGGAGCACAGAATTTATTTTTCTGTGTGTTAAAGTATTAGGAAAGTCTATAAAGAAATGTATGTGGTTATAGGGCTCATACATATGTACTGTGGGAAAGAGAATGAGACAGGATATGTTAACACTCTATTATCAGTAACTTAAAGAAATTTGTTTTTTGTTGTATTTTGAAAGTCACAGCATGTTTTCTTGTGGCCCTTTGCCTGTGGGCCCAGTTCAACTTGCTCTTATAAAGCATGATAAAAACTCAGTGTATGTGTGTATTAACTTCAGAACTCACACTGAGGCAATCGTTCAAATGTTGTCTTTATATGAGTGTTTTGGGTAGATAGTAGTACTATGAGTTCTTAAAATAAAAAAGTATATAAGGATATGCCATGTAAAATCTCTCCTATCCCTGTCATTAGTTACCCTGCACCCTAATTTGCTTGTTCTAAATTCTTAGTCAACTGATCAAAGACCATACATACATACAGGGTAGATATATATTTCTACATATGTGTTTATATGTGTTACAAATATATCCATCATACCTAGAGTATACAGAGGGAAAAGTTATGAAAACTTTTAAATTATATCCATATACCTTGAGGGGATGGACTTGGGAACTTAGGCACATAGTCTTACCTGGGTCCATTTATATATGTCTGTGTGTATGTGCATGTGTGTGTTGTTAACTGGCGCTGTGGGCTAATGCATGAGACTGCAAAGTCATTTGAACTGCAAGGTCAGTGGTTCAAGCTCACCAGCTGCTCCTTGGAAACCCTACACAGGGTCGCTGTGGGTTGGAATTGACTTAACAACAGCAACAAGTGCTGTTGAATCACTTCTGACACATAGCAGCGCTGAATAGGGTTTCCTAGGAGTGGCCGGTGAGCTTGAACCGCCAACCTTGCAGTTCAAATGACTTTGCAGAGTGGCCGGTGAGCTTGAACCGCCAACCTTGCAGTTCAAATGACTTTGCAGTCCAGCGCCACACCAGGACTCCGTGTGTGTGTGTGTGTGTGTGTGTGTGTGTGTGTGTGTAAGTAAACTTCATGAGCACTTGGTTTGTGATTGGTCAATGGGAACAAGCAATATAGTTACTCTTTATGAGACAAGGGCTGGGAATTTGGAGGGCTCTGTGTCTAGCATTGCCATAGTTGAATAAGGGGTGTCTGTATGTCTTATATAAGTTTATGGGGAGGGTGGTTATTTGCAGCAATCTATTTTCCTTAATACACAGCCGGTGGGGATTTCTTAGTCATCACTGTTTTGTAGTATCACAGAATTCAGGTGAAATTCAATATTAACTATACAGTTTGTTTTCTAACATTTCTCAGAAAAACTCACATTCTGCCCTTTGAATGTTTTCTTTTAGCCCCATGTGCTGTCAGGAATCTACAGGACTTGGCTCGCATTTACATCCGCCGTACACTTAGAAATTTCATCAATGACGAAATGCAAGCCAAAGGGCTTCCTCCCAGGGCTCCCCGGAAAAGGAAGAGAAAGAGAGTGAAACGGAGAATTAACACGTATGTGTTTGTGGGCCATCAACTCATTCCTCACCCTCTAGACAGTGAGGAGGATGAAGAAATGGAAGAAGATAGCAAAGAAGAGGAGGAGAGAGATCACAGTGAAGCCATGAAGCCAGAAGAGCCTCCTCAAAATCTGCTGAGAGAAAAGATCATGAAGTTACCCCTCCCTGAATCTTTAAAAGCTTACTTGACATATTTTAGAGAAAAATAACGTCAGCCAAGAAGAACGAATGCCTACTAATAGTTCCTCTAGTCTTGAAAAATGTAGCATTTGTTAGGAGTTAAAAGAATATTTCTTTCATCAGAGCAAATTATTGTAGAAAAAATATAACTTGTTTTTGTCTTAGTAACAAAAATGATGTATTTGGTGATTAAAAAGAGTCCCTTTTTTAAAATCTATTTTTCTTTAAATCTTGGGGGAAATGCTGTGTTAACTCAGAGTGATTTCAAAGTGGAATGCAATAGTCAAGACTTTGTGTACTGTAAATCTTTTTCTGATTCCCTACAGATTTGTAGTGGTGAGGGTTAAATTTAATTTTATATAGGGTAAATTGTTAAGCATATATAATCTGATTTGAAGTATAGTTGTTTGTATTTCCTTTAGGAAAACTTTCTTATCTATTAAGGAAATCAAACACTTTGTACACCTATTTACTTTAATTTTGTTGTAATCACTATTCCTAAGTTGCTAATAGATATATTCTGGGCAATATATGAGTGTAATAACCATACAGATGTTGAATGATTTAGCTTTAAAGAAAAAATAAAAGGCAAGTTTCATGGAATTCAACAGCCCTGCTACTTTTGCTCTTATACTTATTGCCAAAAGATAACGGGGGGAAAAAGTTGCTTCTCTCATAGAGATTTTATGAGCACATTTAAGTGAATATTAAAGTAAAAACTACATACAGCTCCTAATTTGTATGGGCCCTTTACATTTTCAGTATTTATAAATAATGAAATTATCTTACTTGCTGGAGTTTTAAAAGATCATATATTTAGCATTTTTTTTTCTTTTTGCCTATAGTCCACTGTGTAAAGTGTCGAGTTTAAGCAGCACACATGGATCTGTGTTACTCTGTGACTAGCACACACTGGGAGTGGCACTGTAATGTGAATGGCTGCTGCTGTTGTGGACAGCTGTAAGTAGCAGAGCCCAGTATTGTGATTTAGCCAATAGAATTTCTGCTTCATTCAATATTTATCTTTGACAAGGTAGAATTGAACTGGTTGCCATTTGTTGTGGAATTCATCTTTCTGGTATAAGAAATAGTCACAAGAATTGTATGCAGATGCCTTTTGGTTTGAAAACTGGTTCAGAATCATAATGCAATCTGTGGGACCTACATTGGTGCATTTAATTCTTAATCGTGCTTTAAGTTTCTTTTGGTAAAATTATAATGGTTTTCATTTTTTTGTTTGATGTCACACATTTAAACTATTCATATTTGAATGTCAGTTGTAGCTTGTAAGTTGTAAAACATAGTAAATGCCACTGTTAGTTTGCATTTTTTTAAAAAATCTGGGTAGAGCCTGAAAACAGTCATTCCTTGTGAAGTACACTAACATATTTACTACTTAAGAGTTACATAGACTATACATATATTTTAAAAGCAAAATTTGAGAATATCAGTTAATACCACCAGCATCACTGTTACAATAGTTGATCAAATTTGCTTAAGGAACCCTAATCGATCATGAAAGTGTTGTTATCTCTGTAAAATTTGAATTTTGGTTATGAGTAGGTGATTTTAAAGCTCTCATCTCTAGTAATTCCACACATACTAAAACAAAGTCTTTGAAGTATTCTAAGCATCAAGTGTTCCAAGTAATGAGGATATTTTAGTAATGTAAAAAATGATTTCATGGAAGATACTTGTTTTATATCAATGCTGAGTTGGAGGTCTCCACAAATTGTGTAGCTGATTAACTAGATGTTATTGTTAAGACATGCCCCATATCATTTCTATTGAGAAAAGGAATTTAGTTTGTTTCAGTTGTTGCTAACAATGTTAGAAATGTTCATTTGATTTTAATTTAAATGCTTTTGACACTTAGTCTTAACTCCTGCTGCCCACATGTATTTATTTAGAAAACCTGGTGAGACAGCATTTTATCTGCCCTTCCTCCTGTTTTGTATTGGAATTGTGTCCAGATATGTAAAGTACATATTCTCAATGATAACTTTACTATTTAGGAGAGAGTTTTTGTTAAGGATTTATTTGAAGATTGACTTTTTCATATCACCTTTCATTCTGCTGATGTTGGCAAAATGTACAGTAGATATTATGATCATTGCATATTTTTTGCCATTGAAATGTATCTTTTGTGCTTTTAAATGCATTCATTTTACAGTTATGACTTTATTACTGACTTTAAATAAAGATAAAAATGAAAATTCAAGTGAAAGCCCTTTTATCTATTTAGTTGGGGATATTAGAAAAATTAGAAAAAAAGTAGAAAAATGATCTTGGGTGTGTGTTTAATTTCTGGTGATTTCATGTTTACATGAGGTTGGGAAATAATGCTTAATAGGTAGAAACGTAGCCAAGAAAAATTAAGTGATATTAAGTGAAAATGATGGGAAGTAAAGTTTTTAATTATATAGTCAAGAGAAAATAATGGAAAATAGAGTTGTTTAATATATGTTGTTGTTGTTAAGTGCCTTTTGAGTCGGGTCCGACCCATAGCGACCCTGTACAGGGTTTCCGAGGATGTAAATCTTTACGGGAGTAGAAAGCCTCGTCTTTCTCCCACGGAGCGGCTAGTAGTTTCGAACCGCTGACCTTAAGGTTCGCAGCCCGATTCGTAACCACTACGCTACCAGAGCTCCTTTGTTTAATATATAGCCAAGAAAAATAATAGAAACCATCTGATGTAGGTCTTTATATTGCAAGATGAGAAAGTAGGCCCAAAGAAGTACATGGTTTCCCAAATCATACATCTAGTTGGGGACAGGGCCTGAAATAGCATGCAGTATAAGCAGAGTACCAAAGATATGTCAGTGACAACATAGTACTAACAAGAAGGATGTTTCAATGAATCCTGCTGGTTACCACAAGGTCAATGGTTCGAATCTTCTGGCTGCTAGTGGGGGAAAGATGAGGCTTTCTGCTCCTATAAAGATTTACCACCTCAGAAACCCTATATAGGGTCACTGAGTTGGAACTGACTCAGTGACACAACCGCCACCACCACTATTGCCGTAGATAATAATAATGAATAATGAAAATCACATTGTTCATAATGTGATGAATGATGACTTTACTCTTTAGGAGAGAGTTTTGTTACAGATTTATTTAAAGATTAACTTTTTCATACCATCTTTCATTGTTGACCTTGGGAAATGTACAGTAGATATTAATGATCATTGTATATTTTTTGCCATTGAAATGTATCTTTTGTGCTTTTAAATACATTCATTTTACAATTATGACTTTATTACTGTCTTTAAATAAAGATAAAAAGGAAAATTCAAGTGAGAGCCCTTTTAAGTGTTAATAATGAAAACTTACATACAGGCTAAAATAAAACACAAAAAGTGTTACTTTTTACAGTCTCAGTGATAGCAAAGTCTGCTATATCATGGGAACTGTTAGAAAATTATATTTAACAACTATGTAATTTTCTAATGACTTTTTTCTAAAATGTTTAAATTTTAGATGGTCTCAACACTTATATCCTGAATTTTTATATATAGTATGTATTGGGGCATCTCCCTTTTCAATATAAACACCCCTGAAATGTGTTGTTTTTAAAAATATTAAATATCAAAATTGACATGAAATCATATTTATGTAAATATGTGCAAAGTAAGCTAAGAACTGGACTGAGAACCATAAGGTCAGGTGGTTGAAAACCTACCAACCACTCCTTGGGAACCCTATACAGGCTCACTATGAAGTGGAACTGAATCTAGGGCATTTAGTAAAACAACAACATATGCAAAGTGGAGCCCTGGTGTGATTCTGCAGGCTCTGCTGGACTGTTAACCACAAGGTCAGTGGTTCAAACTCAAGCAGCTCTTTGGAAACCCCTTACAGGGTTGTCATGAGTCAGAACTGACTTGACAGCAAACAACAAATATGCACAGTACAAAGAAGAAAAATACCACATACATGTAGGTGCATGGGGATATGTGAACTACTGGGTATGAGGAGAAACAGCATCACTGTGAAATGTGTGCCCCTTCCCAATATCATGAATCCTACTCAGCAATTGTTTTGTGTCATTACTTTGCTTTTTACTATAGTTCTTAACCTTTTTTTTCTTTTTGTCTCTAAGCAATATGTTATTTGAGTTTATACAGGTTTAACTTTGTGTAAGTGGGATCTTCTATATGCATTCTTCCACAATTCTGTTTTTCAGTTCACATGAACTTTCTGAGATTTAGTCATATTACATATGTTACTTTCAGTGAGTTAATATGTCACACTTTAGTCATTCTACTGCCGATGGCATTTGTTGTTTCTTCAAACAGGTCAGTTTTGGCCATTTACCCACCTGTCTAATGAACATGCCTGTGCTGGATTTTCCTAGATCCAATATGTTGTTCTTGTTAGGTGCCTTTGAGTTGGTTCTGATTCGTAGTGACCATATGCACAACAGGACAAAATGCGACTGAGTCCTGGACAGTCCTCACAATTGTTATGTGTGATCCCATTGTGTTGCCACTGTGACAGTCCATCCTGATGGAGTCCTTCGTGGTTCATACTGACTCTTTACCAAGCATGATGCCCTTTTTCACGGACTGGTCCTTCCTGACATGTTCAAAATCTGAGAGACAAAGTCTTGCCATCCGCGCTTCTAAGAGTGTTATGGCTGTACTTCTTTTAAGACAGATTTGTTTGTTCTAATGGCAGCTCACCAGCTGCTCATTGGAAACCTATACAGGGTCGCTATAGGTCAGAACCAACTCGACAGCACTTAACAACAACAACATGGCAGTCCACAGTACTTTATTCATCACCAACACCATATTGTCAGTTCTGAGGTCTTCTTATTCATTTTCCAACTCTGAAATGCATGTGAGGTGATTGAAAATGCCATGGCTTGCATCAGGTGCACCTTAGGCCCAAATCTGACATCTTTGCTCTTGAGTGCTTTAAAAAGGTCTTTTGCATTAAGCAGATTTGCGTAATGCAGTACGTCTTTTGATTTCTTGGCTTTGCTTATATGAGTGTTGACTATGGATCCAAGCAAATGAAGCCT